CCCCTGCTGCCCTCCCAGGCCTTTCTCTCCAGGCACGAGGGTACAGCAACAAGCCAAACCAATTCCAGCTTTCCAGGAGGAAAGAACAGAACGAATTAGAGATCTTGTTCTCAAACATTTTTCTAGAAATACAACAGAATTTTCTTGCTCAAGGCTTCTCTTGCCTTGAGAAGGGATTCAGCTCAGATCACTTTGCTCTGGAAATTGAACATTTAAGAGCATTGGTACTTGGTGTGAGACCACAAGACCAGAGTTTGAAAGGGCAGAGAAAATGGAGGCAGCAGCAGAAGAGCATCTGTGCTGAATGAGGGCAAGCCTCTGGAGCAGGCCCTGCACACTGACCGTCAGGAGCTGCGTTTACATTTGGCATTTGTTTGGAAAGCGTGATAGGCCTGTGCCAAAGGGACTTTCTGACCACATCAGGGAGGAAAACCAGATTCTGAGGTTGGCCACAGTTTTCTTTAGAATCCCTTTCTGTGCCTCATTTTACTTCTAAGTGAGTGATTATGTTTTCTGCTCCCACCTTTGTCTCTTTTCTGTTTCACTTAGGAGTTGTTTGGATTAGAGAGACTTCTTTATTAAAGGCTTGGATGCTACTGTAGTGCACGAATGAAGATAATTCAAACATTTCCATGTTCCCATAAATACTCCAAATGTTATTACCCTTACATTTCTCCATAAGTGCTACTGAGTTATGTTTTGTTTAAAGTGTGATTTAAGATAATTGGTGAGTCAGAATACTGGTTTGTTTCTGAATAATAAGTAGTTAATAATATCTGCTGTTGAAGCCAAGAACTATTATAGATTCCAGAAAAGAATATACTAAAAAAATCCTCAACATCATATTTCTTCTGAATTACTAGATGGAAGTGATACTAAAAAGAGGAAACCCTTCTCACCACAGCACAGTGCACAGAATAATGTCTTCCCAGGCAATGCATGAGGATCCCTGTTCAGGGGGGTTTCCTTGGGCAAAGAGCTCCACAGGAAAAGTGTCATTTCAGAAGTTCTCCATGCACACAGATGGACATCTTGGGGTCCAGCAGAAGCTGCAACACTTGTGTTGGCCACATGCCACCCTGGCAGCTCTTCACCAAACACAAAGCTGTGAGCAGGTCAGTCCACTTCCAGCTGCTCTAGTGTCTCATGATGCAGGGGACGCAATCAATAAACCTGGGGATGCCAAGGGGCCTTTGCACCTTCCCCCAGGAGGTGAATGCCCTCCCAGTCACTGCCTGCCCAGTGCAGTGTTGTCACTGTGCAAGCACCGAGCTTTTCCCAGGCTCCAGAGTGACCCCTGGCAGGAGTTACACCGTGTGTGAGTTACACACCTGGATGGAGGCACTCACCCCCACATCGACCCACAGAGATGTACATGTGTGTATCTCAAACTTCCCCGGCTTTATTGCACGCCTCTGCTATGAATATGCTTTATTAGAGCCTGGTCAGTTGTTGCAGATGATTGCCATGGTGGAATCTGTTTAATTAGATTTTTATTTGTAATGCTGTGCTGGAGTAGAGTCAGGAGAGGATTCTCTAGGCAGCAGATCAAATTCATCTATGAGAGCACTGAGGTCGGAGAAATGGCAAAGTGCAGCCAGATTTGGTGCTGATTTATACAGTCCCAGAGGCAGCATGCCACCCCTAGTTCCTGTCTGTTCTCAGAGCCTGCCAGCTGGAGGTGCTTCACCTGAGGATCAGAACTATCTGAACTTCTGGCATCGGCGTGAAGGAAAGCACGTGGCAGGTTCACACCTGCCTTGGAGGCCAGGCGGCCTTGGGGCTGTGGCACAGACCTGCTGGAAGGCAGGGAGGGGCTTGCTCAGCTGCTCCTTTTCCTCCCGTGCCAGTGAGCTCACAGAAACCAGCACAGCTCTCTGGACTGGGCAGCAGCAAAGCCCCGTCCCAGTCTTGTGACATGCCACATCAGGACCAAAGTTCTGCCCAAACTCTTCTCACTGCTCTTATCTGCAATGGACCTTGGAATTTTTTTTTGGTTTTTTCCTTTCCTCTGATGCAATTAAGATGAAGCAATATTTTAAGTCTTTCTTCTGGGCTTGTTCCTTCTGCAGTGACCACAAGGAGCTGGTCATAATAAATATCATCAAACACCCTAATAGCTTGTGGGCAGTTGCCCCAGGTTTGAATTACACTGTTAGTAATGCGTACTGATAGATTTTTCCCCATCTAATTTCAGTTGAAGTTTTCCATCCTGGCATTTATTCTGGTACAAGAGTTTTACTGCGATTGCTGTTATATCAGGAAGCAGATTGAGATAGTCTTCCCAAAGAAGTGCTTGCCTTTTGAAGCAGGAGGGGAGAAGCACCTGAAGAAGTGGGCAGGACTCTCCAATTAAATGGGAGAAGTTCCCCCCGTTAGTGTGCAGGGGGCAGCAGGAGTTTGTGTAGGCTGAGAAGTGAACTCAGAGAGGGAGAGGGATTATGATTTCTGTCAGGGAACCCCAGCATAGCAACTCTTATTAGAGCCCATAAATAAATATTTTTCTCCTCGATGCAACAAAGCACTCAGCCAGCTGTAATAGAAGTGAGCATTCAGGAGCTTCTAATCTCATGTTAGAAATAAATCATATCTGCCTCAGAACTTCTGTCTGGATTAGCTGGTTACACAAGGCATAACCTTGCTGATAACTACCAGTGTTATCATGACTTATCTGAAGTTTACTCTGGCTTTCTTTTGGTTCTAGTACATCAATAATTAGGGCTGTTCTGATCCAGCTCATTGCAGTGGGATTTGGGTGTGGAGCAATGTTTATAAAACAAACTCGTCCTTGTGCAGAAGCCAGCATCCCACAGAAACCCTCTGCCTGCCTTACTCAGGTGGTTCTGATCTGAAATAATTACTTGGATAAACAGTTTCTGCCTGACACCTCTACCAGATTTCCCATGGGATCTTACATAACCCCTGTCCTTTATGAGACTATTGTAATATATAAGGAAAAGGTCACAGGATTCATCCACCCTGTTTCTAAAGAGCTCCAATGGAAGTCCTCATCCAGCACTGAAACAACAAACCCCACACAATACTTAGCAGTGTTATTCACTCATGATTCAACTAAAATGCCATATGTGAATGTGGAAAATAGAGCTTTCAGAGCACTCCAGAGCAAACTGGAGCTTCAGCCAGCAGGAAGTTTCTCCATGGTGTTGTCCTTTGCTTGTTCCCTTTCCCCCAACAGTGGTTACTGAACGCAGCTGGGAGGAGCCGTGTGCCTCACCCTGCTGAGGGCCCAGCTCTGTGCTGTGCTCACAGCTGGGGATGCTGGGGATCAGGCCTCACCTTGTGGTGTCCCACCATGGCAGGAGGAGGCTTGTAAACGTGGTACATGATTATAAATAGCCGCACTAATGAGGAAAGCTTGTGTACTTGGTCTAACGCTATCATTTGTGTCCTGGGAGAAAGGTTAGAGCAAACAGAGGAACTCCTGCAGGCAGAAGCAGCTTTCAGAGGTGGTGAAAGGCAGAGCTGGGATGTTGTTTTCTTCCTCCACTTGCATAAATCAGAGCTTTTGGTGAACACAACCTGAGGGGTCCTTTCAGTAAGGCTCTCCTGCAAGACCCCCCTATTGCTGTTCCAAGGCTGGAACTGTGATCTGGCAGAAACAGGCTCATGGCAAGGCTAGCTTTTAGCTCAGCTCATGAAGGGGGTTAAATAGGCAGATTTGCAGCTCACACATGCCTATAACACTGTCATGGCTTTAGAGAGCTCTGTAAGCACCTGTCTGGGAGCACAAACCAGGCCTCACCAGCTCAGCCTGGAACGCTGCAGCCAGACAGTGCTGATAAATCAGTCACCACATGAGACACCAAAAAACTTTTGTACAAGTTTTTAATACAAAATTCAACAAAAATATATATAATCAGGCATTTTATGCAATGCATACATTCTTTATATCTGCAGGTACAGATAAATAACAGAAGGCAAAACCAAGTATTTTGCTTATCTTTGGCCATTAACCAATAATCACCCCCAAACAGATATTATAGGGTTAAAGGATAATAAACTGAGTCTGCAAATGTCTCTCATTACAGACACAGTATCAGGCAAAAATACAGTAGTCAGATTTTCAGAAATGTAAGGAAATAGTTCTCTAACACTGCCCAATACTGAAATTTCACCTGGTTTGCTGCTATGGAGCATAAGGCCTTCAGCTGACTCAGGCATGGTCCTGGGTTACATCAGGTACACTGCACCCCTATTAACCTCCTGCCCTTCCCCACACACTGCTCTCTACAAAGCTGTATCTCTCACAAATAAACTAGCACAAAGTCTCACCTGGGGGCAGCTTTCTGCACCCCAACCAACGTACAGAAGGAAGCTTAACTGCTGTGTAAGTCAATAGTTTTCCTACCTCAGTGTGCCAGAACAGCTGTCCTTCCACTTACAGCTCAGATGCATCATGGCTCTACCAAAGCAATATATACATGAGACACACGAAAAATCATACAAGCAATTTTTAAAGGTACACTGATAACATGTAGCAGCTTATGTCTATATATGTACATGTTTTCACAGTTACATTTTAGAAAATTGAGAACATCAGAATACTTCTACTGTGTTGTCTATAAATAGTAAAAAAAATTACCTGTCAGGCATTTTGATAAAATAGTATTTAGGTTATCACTTTAAATAGCTCTTGAAAACCTGTAGAGTTTTAAGCTTAAAGGCTGTACAGTTTGAGGATTCTGTAAAGTGTTTGTAGCCAGTTTCAGCAGCTGGGCCACCTCCCAGTTGTTGGTTTCATTTGCTTGTTTTCTTCTCAAATAACTCAGATCTGGTAACAAAGGAACTCCACCACTTTGCCCGGGATAGGCAAGTTCTTGACCTGGCTGGTGGGCATCACCCTGCGGATGGCCATGCGGCACAGGTGCTGCAGGCTGGACACCTGGCTCGGGGTCGCCCAGAAGAACAGGCTGCCATCCTGGGTCCTGCACAAAACCACAACAGCCTCCAGGTTATTCCACAGGAACCAGCTCAGCCTGCTACCAACACACACACACACACCACTAGGTAGGGGACTTGCTGGTGCTCAGTTCCAGCTGCTCCAGGATCCTGATTTACTCCAGTTCCTATTGTAAGCTGCAGCAGCACAATAAGCAACTTGTCTGTGCAAAGGGAACAGATCTCCCAGCAGCTACTGCTGTGCCACCTAACACACAACAACTGCCCTCAGCTATCTGATGGGCTTCTTCCAATCCTCATGTTCTGGGTCTCTCATATATTTATTTTTAAAGATAAGAAATGAGTTTATCAGCTGATTGATTTTACTGCTATTCCAGACATGTTTAAACAAACAGTACCAGTCAGAAGCACCAGGCTGCAAGTCACAACTGAAGATTTTCAGAACACTGAGCCACTGTTTTCAATCTCTTGTGTTACCTTCATATTTTAGAAAGGAAAAGAAGTCTGTACTTGCCCTGCAGCCAGAACACTGCCATCAGTAGAGAAAGTACAGCAGAGTCCATTGTTCAGAGGTGCAACTTGTACGGGGTATTCTTCATCAATTCTCCAGAACCTCACCATTCTGAGGGGGAAGGACAACACAGGAAGTTATCAGAGCGGGTTTTTAACTGTGCTAGGTGTTTTCTGTGCCAGTGCTGAGGGGCTC